AGGAAAGATATTTGGAGGGGCTCACAAACAGCAATAGTGCCATCAGTGGAGGACAACAGCTATCTTTCCCTGGCAAAAAGCAATTGTGTTTCAGTTACTGGAAGGATGTAACTTTGCCAGTGCCGGACTTGAACTCTTGTCTTTTTTCACGTTACTCTGACACCCCATCCTTTTTTTAAAGGAACTCATTTGCTACTTTAGGGCCAGAATCTGTTGGTGTTTTTTAACTATAACTGGGGTTTTACTTGAGCACTCATGTTGCAGCATAATGCAACCTTCCACAGCTTTAAGGTGAATAAAATGTTTAAATGAAGTGTGGTTTGCCTTTTTTTGTTTACAATCAAGTTTAATTTCTATCACAAATTCGCATGATAGTGCTTTGCAAACTGTGTAAGTTCGAGGAAGTACACACCAGACAGGCTATTTGTTATTTCATGTAAATATAGGTGAGGCCAAGCACACACCTATATTAGTCATAACTTAAGTGTAATAACATCCCACTAGGTGTGGCATGGAAAAAGGTTAGAGCTTTACCCTTAGTATTATTGCTGTGGCTCAAGCAATGGAAGCTTTATAACGTTCACTGTCACAAATGAGATATTCAGAGTTCCATTTTATAGAAAAGTGTCCCCAGTACTGTTCTGAATTTATCATTAACAGCATGTGCAGTTGTTTGGTCATATGGCCCATATTTCAATTCAATTTTTAGTCTCATTTATATAGTACCAAATCACAATAACCGGTCCTCAAAATCCTTTGAAAAGTAAAGATCAGACAATAGCACAGAGAAAACCCCAACTATCAAATGAACCTCTATAACAGGGGTGGGGGAACTAAACCCAGGGTGATATCCTTCAGTATGAGAGAGCTGTGACTGAGCGTTCATGGGGCTCATCTGGATTTCTATCTGCATCTCAAGTTATCTCATGTTACATACAAAACAAAGCACCGTCTGATAACCCATTTCTACATAAATGTGTAATTGCTGTTTCCAAAGAGAGGAACAGCTGCAAAAATCATCCCAAAACCTTCCATACACTTTCTTACTTAGACTACAAAGTCACATTGTCAAGTTTAAGATGGCCTGAATAATGGCCTCTCTCTCTCTCACTCTCTCCCTCCCTTAGAGTAATGATAAAATTTATGTTTAATCGTGGCTCTAAGATATGCTTACAATACCTAATTCAAAGCTAATAATTATATCTAATGATGGCCCACTTAAAGCTGACGCTCCAGCA